AAGCCCCTGGCCATGAATCTTGCCAACCAGGTGGTCTTCCCAATCTTGTGCCTCAATTTCCCCATTAGTCCAGTGGGAATAGTGTGACCTGCTACCACCTTGATTCCAAGGGAGAAAAATTAGTTCTGACCCTTGTTGGTTTCCCTGGGAAAAGGACCATCTCCCCAGAGGAGGGTGTTAGTTGGCTCATTATCTTGCCGGCAGGGATCAGCTGCTCCTAAAAGGCATCGATTTTGCTGTGATCACAGCACCGGCTGCAGAGAGAGCAGAGCGATCATCGTGGCAGGGGTGTCAGAAACGTCGCACTCTTTTCCTGGGGTTTCTGTTTTGAAGCCCCGCACCTCCCCACTGAGGCTGCTCCTCTCTTTCCCACAAGGGTGGGCTGATTTCAGGGGCGTGCTCAGGGTGCCCCTCAGCCCTCGGCTCCCCAGGCAGGACCCCCTGGATGCACCTCTCCAGGGCCTGTCTCAGGCTCCGGGTACTCACTCTGGGGCATGGGAATCCCATAGGCTTCCTCTGTCTTGCCTGTCTGGACAGTGGGTGCCTTTAGCTCCGACCTGGGCTCTCCCTGATTGGCTTAGGGAATGGGGTCCAGGTCACCCCTCCACCCAGCTCACCCTGAAGCCAACTTTGGTGGGCCTCCTCCTTCCTTGCCCATTTCTCCTCCTCCCCATCTCTTTCCAACTTGGGGACCATCATAACTGAGGATGGGGAAATGGATTTCCTCCTTTTTTTTTTTTTTTTAAATTTTTAAAATTTATTTCTGGGAGAGACAGAGACAGAGACAGCGTGAGCGTCAGATAGAGAGGGAGGGACAGAATCTGAAACAGGCTCCAGGCTCCTAGCCAGCTGTCAGCACAGAGTCCGACATGGGGCTCGAACCCACGAACTACGAGATCATGACCCGAGCCGAAGTTGGACGCCTAACCGACTGAGCCACCCAGGCGCCCCTGGATTTCCTTCTTAGGGCTTAGGCTCTGGAATCCTGACGTCTTTACTGTTTCTGCCACAGCAACTCCAGCAAGAGCCCTGACCACCCATCTCCCCCTGCACTTACCCTGTAGGAGCGCACCCATCTCCCCCTGCACTTACCAGTAGGAGCCAGCTCTCGTTCACAGTGGGCCTGTTGGCTCTCTGGGGCCCCCAGAGCCTCTCATGTGCTCGGGGCCAGCCGTGCAGCCAGCATCTCACTACTCCCAGGAGGACCTTCCATGTGTGACAGCTTCCTCACCCTGTAGGGTCACCAAGGCATGTGTTCTGCATGCTCTCTCATCGGTCCCCTCCGGAGTCACATTCTAGCGGCCCCGTGACACACACTGTATAGTTTCCTTCACCCGGCTTTTCTCTCTCCCCTGTGAGTGCTTCCTGGGATTACCTCCCAGCTAGCATCCTGGCAGCGACATCTTTTTGGGGGCACCCAGCATGAGACAGCATCTCTTCTCAGAAGCAGTGAATGGGGCCTGCTGACTGAATGGGAAGAGACGGGGTGGGAGGAGAGAGGGTGGCGGAGGACTTGCTAGTTAATAGTTCAAAATATGGAGGCGGATCTTTGGAAACCCGAGTAAGTGGAGCACTCCCCCCATGCCTGACGCCGCGCCCAGACTTCTCACAGCTAGTGTTTCAGAGGCTCCTCCCTAGGACTCTGCCAAAGTGGCCTGTTCCCCGCGCTCAGGGGTCGGGGTCTCAGGGATTTCATCAGCCAGCCAAGGAAGCAGGGACTGGCGCTCCGTCCTGTGGTTCCTAGGGGAAGAAGTATCTGGAAATTCCGCAGCTAGTAGAGAGTCTGTGGCACCTTGAGATAAGCCATTGCCTTCTATTGGCATCAGCACCGGGGGATTCCAGGACCCCCTTCTGATCTCCAAAGACTCTTGTCTTTAAATCTTTCCCGATAAAATTATATTTTGTCACATGCTTTGAGGCAGGTGACGTGGTGGCGTTAGATAGGTCTGTGAGGGGCAGAGAACCAGAATGCTGGTTTTGGGTTAAAAAAGGGTCTGGTGTACAGTGTGCTGATTGCTGTGGTGTGACACCCCCACCATGGCCAGTCCCAGGCTGTGACCGTGACAGGTGGGAAGACACGGTGCTGTGGAGTGCCACACCATCCATTAGCTGGCGTTTCCACAACGCTGCTGCGGTCACAGCATAAATGACCCCGAGAGCACCGGTAATGCTAAAATGTAGTAAAATAATTAGCAAGTGATGAGCTCTCGGTATTTAATACCTTTTCTATGGAGGTAAAATTCACATACCACTAAACTCACCATTTTCATTATTTCAAAGTGGACGTTTCGGCAGTATCAAGTACCTCCACCGCCAGAACATTTTCATCGCCGCCAAGGAAGCCCTGTACCCGACCAGGCGGCCACCCCTCGTTCTGTCTCTTCATCCCTGGGGACCCTTGTAGCCTGCTTTCGGCGTCTGTGAATGTGCCGCATCTGGGATTTTCGCACAGATGGAGTCATACGATATGTGGCCTCTCCGGTCTGGCTTCCTTCACTCGGCGTGCTGTTCTCCTGGCTCGTCCGTGTCGTGGTGCGTGTCAGCGCTGCATTCCGTGTCGTGGCTGAAAGGGGTCCCCTTGTCTGGGCGTGTTGCATTTTCTTCACCTGTTCACCCCTCAGTGATCTGGGCTGTTTCTGCCTCGGGGCTGTCTGGAATCACCCTGCTATACACAGTCACGTGCGAGTGTTTATTTGAGCTCCTCTCTTCAGTTCTTTGGGGGTGTTACCTGCCCAGAAGTGCACTTGCCGGCCCTACGACAGTCTATGTGTCACTCTGAGGAGCCTCCAAGTTGTTCGCCATCTTGCATTCCTGTAAGCGGGGCTCACATGTCCCGTTTCCCGGCATCCTCACCGACACTCGTCATTTCCACTTCTCTATGTGTAGCTGCTGTGAAGTCCTGTCTCATTCGGGTTTTTAAAAAAAAATTTTTTTTATAGTGTATTTTATTTTTGAGACAGAGAGAAACAGAGCATGAACAGGGGAGGGACAGAGAGAGAGACACACACACACAGGATCTGAAGCAGCTCCAGGCTCTGAGCTGCCAGCACAGAACCCAACATGGGGCTCGAACCCACGAACCACGAGATCATGACCTGAGCTGACCTGAGCTGACCCAAAATTCAGCTGACCTGAGTTGGTTGCTGAACCAACTGAGCCACCGAGGCGCCCCGCATTCGGGTTTTGATGTACATTTTTCCCCAGGGACCGGTGGTAGGTAGCATCTGTGCATGTGCTTCTGGCTGTTTGTAAACCTTTCTTGGAGAAATGTGTGTTCAAGTCCTTTGCTCATTTGTCAGCTGCCTTGGTGGTTCTTATGTTACTGAGTTGTGAGGGTTCCTTGTGTATTTTGCATGGATCACATGTATGACTTGCAAGTACGTTCTCCCGTTCTGTGAGCTGTCTTTTCATTTTCTTGATAGTGTCCTTTGGTGCCCAAAAGTTTAATTGTGGTAAAACAATTTTTTTAAGTTGGTATAAAATTACATTAAAAAAACTTAGGTTAAATTATATAAAAATTGATTTAAAAAGTTTTTTTTAAGTCACTTGTGCTTTTGGTGTCATATCTAAGACTCCACTTCAGATCAAAGGTCGTGAAAATTGACTCCTGTGTTTTCTTCCAAGAGTTGTAGTTTTTAGCTGTTGCATGTAGGTGTTCGATTGATTTTGAGTTAACTTTTGTATATGATGTGAGAGAGGGAATTCTACTTCATTCTTCCACGTGCGAACATCCAGTAGTGTATCTTTGTTTTTAATATAGGTTATTATAAGTTTATGTAATTTACCTCTTAATTATGACTATGTTTAACAACTGGCTTGCAAAATTCCTGAAAATCAGCTCTTGTGAGCAGCGTGAGCTGCTATGAGACGGTCCCAGCCACTATTTCCACCTTACCCTGCTTGCTGCACAAGGCTGGAGTTTGTATTTGTTTTTCTTAAGGAGCGAGCTGGGGGGTGACCGAAGTTTACAGAGCTCCTAGGGAGTGGGTGTCTGAGCAGGGAGCCTCTGGACACCCCACTCTGGTAGCCGTGGGTCCATCCACCCTCCTCCCGCTGTGTCTGGCTTGCCCTCTCCCGGTTCAAAGAACGTGACTGCTTCTCTCCTGCTGTCTTGCTTCACATTTGCCCAGCTCTTCCTTTGGCTGAGAGGAAGCTGATTATGTCCCAACTGGTGGCAGGAGGGGGGGAGGAGGTTTGGAAGTCCCACCTTTGAACAGAGACCCAAGCCTGATCCTGAGGGAGAAAGTGCCCCTCATCCTGGTGGGGTAACCGGACAAAATACCAGATGCTCAGCGACTTTTGGATTTCAGGTAGATAACGCATAATTTTTAGTGTAAGCACGACCCATGCGAGATTGGAATAGACTTCTACTAAAGAATTATGCATTGTTTCTCTGAATTCATTTAGCTGGGATCTCGTGTTTTCGTTTGCTGAATCCAGTAGGCTTCCCCTCGCTGCTGTAACTCACTGCCCTCATCCAACAGCAGGGACTCGAACTCCAGAGTGAGGAGGGTCCGAGGGCAGTGCAGCTTCCCCACCTGTCTTACAGGTCTGGAAACCGAGCCCCGACGTGGACTCGCTGTGGGCTCTGAGGGCCTTGCTGAGCCACACTACTTTTCTTTTCATGAAGTCAGCATCGTTTTCTGAGTGTCCCCTCTGCACAGGGCATTGCGCCAGATGCCGGGGGGGACAGTGACAAGGCTGCCATGGGCCTGGGTAGGGGGCGAGTCCAGAGTTCCCTTTGGGCACGTGAAATAGACAGGATTCGGACAGACCTGGGTCCGGATCCCGCTTTGGCCTGTGTCAGCGGCATGTGAGGTCGCTTCTGCTCTTGGAGCCTCTGTCTCCCCCTTCCTGGTGTGGGGATAGCAGTACTTCACTTGGGGGATCGTTCCCAGGCTTCAGTGGGGGTGACAACGTGCCTGTTGGGGGCGGGGAAGAGTTTACTGCATGTCGAGAGAAGAGAGGTACCCGTGGTAAAGTCTGGTTATTGCCCACAGGTCCGCCAGGCATCCTGGGCCACCCAGATGGTGTAGGATGGAGGTGCCAGAACTCGCTCGCCCTGCCTCGCCTGCCAGGGGCCAGCCAGCTCCTGCTCCTGGACGCCCGGGGGCCTCAGGTGGGCAGGCCTCGCCTCACCTGACCCTGGGCCCTGTCATTCTGCCACCGGAGCAGGGTCTGGCCCCTGCTGTGTTCCTGAAGGCTCTGCCTGTCCCGCTGTACCACACAGGGCCCCTTCAGCCACGTGCCCCCCTGGTGACAGGCAGCCTGGATGGGGGTGGCGTGCCCTTTATCCTCAGCCCTCTGCTGCAGCCTGAGGGCCCTGGCCCTACCCAGGTGGGGAAGCCGGTGGCCCCGACGCTCACCGTGAACATCGTGGGCACGCTGCCTGTCCTGTCGCCGGGCCTGGGGCCCACGCTGAGCAGCCCGGGGAAGGTACGGAACGCTGGCAAGTACCTCTGCCCACACTGTGGCCGTGACTGCCTGAAGCCCAGTGTCCTGGAGAAGCACCTCCGGTCCCACACGGGGGAGAGACCCTTTCCGTGTGCCACCTGCGGCATCGCCTTTAAGACCCAGAGCAACCTGTACAAGCACAGGCGCACCCAGACGCACCTCAGCCACTCTCGGCTGTCCTCGGAGTCGGAGGGAGGTGGGGGCGGCCTCCTGGAGGAGGGGGACAGGGCCGGAGAGAGCTCCAGGGCAGAGGGGGTGGGGGACAGCTGGAGCCAGAGCCGACTGGGGAGGCCCCTCTCCCCAGGCGCCCAGGGTGCCGGGCGCTGCCCAGTGTCCACCACGCACCTGCCTGCTGTCGCTAAGACCCTGGGTATGAAGTTGGAGGCTGTTCCCCGTCCAGGGTCCACACTGTCTGACAGAGAGACCCCCGTGGACTCTGCCCATGCGGCCTCCCCTGGACGCCCCCTGGCCGGCACCCAGCTGAGGCGGAAGTCACCAGAGCAGGCGTCCCCGACCCCCGGCCGGCCGTGCGCCCCGCAGCAGCAGCAGCAGCAGCAGGCAGTGACGTCCTCGGAGAAGTCCTGGGACGCCAGGGCCTCGGAGGGCCGGCTGAGGAAGTGTGAGAGCACCGACTCGGGCTACCTGTCCCGCTCGGACAGCGCGGAGCAACCGCCGGCGCCCTGCAGCCCCCTGCGCGGCCTGTGTGACAGGGAGGCGGCCCCGGGGCTGGAGCGGCAGCTGGAGCAGCGCATCGCCTGGCTCATCTCTCACAACCAGGCCGTGGTGGACGACTCCCAGCTGGACAGCGTGCGGCCCCGCAAGACAGTCCTGTGCAAGCAGGGCAGCATCGACCTGCCCGTGCCCTACACCTACAAGGACTCCTTCCACTTCGACATCCGGGCGCTGCCCTCGGGCCGGAGGAAGCCCGCCGCCCTGGGCTCGGCCCGCTCCACCGTCACGCCCCCGGACAAGGCGCGGCCGCTCTTCTTCCACTCCGTCCCCACGCAGCTCTCCTCGTCCGTGCCGTGCGTGCCCATCACCAGGAGCAGCTCGCTGCCCTTCGTCGAGGGCACAGGGACGTGGCCGGAGCTCCAGGATGCCGGCCCCCGGCGGCAGAAGCCTCTGAGCTGCAGGCCCGCCCCCGCCCGGCTGGCGGACGTCCCCGGCAGTCACCCGCGGGCCCTGGTCAGACAGGCAGCTGTGGAGGACCTGCAGTGTCCCCTCACGGGAGACGGCCCGGCCCCCGCAGAGGACCTGGAGGGCGGCAGAGCCGCTGCTGGCGAGGGGGCGGCCGGTAAGAAGTGTGGCCAGAGGCGGCTGAAGATGTTTTCTCAGGACAAGTGGCAGGTGTACGGGAAAGAGACATTCAAGAGAATCTACCAGAAAATGAAAACCAGCTACCATGGAGGCAAGAAGGCAAGGGAGGGGACGGTGGGGAGTGGGACAGAGCCAGGTGTTCCTCTCCAGGGAGAGGTGGCCGGGGACGAGGGCAGCACCCCTGCCCAGGACGGGAGGAGCCCTCTCCATGGGGACGTGTCCGTGGGGGCCACGCCAGGGCCTTGGGGATGTGCACTGGCCCGGGTGACAGAGCCACCCACGGAGACGATGGCCAGAGCAGGAGGCAGTGAGCCACCCCAGGTGAACAAGGCCACCTTCCCCCCCACCCTGAGCTGCAGAGAACCCACCTGTGCAAGCGGCAAGGGCCCTCTGCTTCCTCCAAACGGGAGGCTGGAGGTCGGGGCTCGGCTGTCCCCAGCGCCTGGTCCCCTCGAGGGAGGAGGCCTCAGGGCTCCTGTGCCGGGTCTGCCAGATCCTCACCTGGAAGGAGGCACCTGTGGTGAGGGCGGCAAGAAGGAGACCGGCCAGCAGCCCCCGACGGCACCGAGGCCACCCAGCGGTGGCCCTGGGGAGCCCCAGCCTTCAGAGGACAAGCTCCCATCAGAGAGGAAGAAGCCGAAGGTTGAGAAGCCCAGCTGCCAGGAGCAGTCGGGGCCTGTGGGAGCAGAAGCAGAGACCCCGGGTGGCCCCGGGCAGGCCACCTCCCTGCCATCTCAGCACCAGGATGGTGACCCTGGGGACACACCGGGGGAGCTGCGCGGGAGTGTGGATGACATGGGGGAGGGCAGGGCTGGGGAGCCAGGGAGGCTGTTGGAGCTTGGCGGCGGCTCCTCGACTGTTCCTTCCGTGGCCCTGAGGCAAGTCCTGTGGGACCCGTGCCCTGTGGCCACATCCCCCGCACGTCACCCCCAGCCGGCTGCACGGCCCCAGGCCCCCAGCATCCTCGCTGCCCCTGCAGACACTGCCTTTCCCCCCAAGTACCTGCTCAGGCTGCCTCAGGTTGAGGCCCGCACCCCACCCCCCACCCCCCAGGGGCCCAGACGGGGCCAGGACCCCCTCTGCAGGGAAAGGCGGCCAGAGGAACAGCCATCCTTTGTTGAGCCAGGGCTGGGGACCTGCCTGCCTCCCTGCCCAGCCACGGGCTTGACCTCCGGTGGAGCGGACACCTCTGAGGAGGATCCCGGCTGGTCCAGGCCATGGGGCAGGAGAAAGGGGGGGCAGAGAGAGCAGAAGCCAGACTTGGACGCTGCCACCCCCGCCACAGGGCAGGCCCCTGGCTCATCCGCCGGCAGCCCCAAGGAGACGACCTTCCTGCCCACCCCAATGTGTGCTCCCCAGAAGAGTGGGACCCCTGAGCCCCAACACCTCTGCATGGGCGGCCCTTCGGTGGGGGCCGGGCCCCCTGGGGGCGTCCTGAGTCCCTGTGCCCTCAGCAGGGAGTTGGGTGGACCTCCCGAGAACGCCCCTGAAAGCCCTCCCTCGGGGCCTCTGGCCCGGCTCAGTTCCTGCTGCTGCTTCCTCACGGCCCCCACGGCCCCGGGCTGCCCAGAGCTGGCCTGTACCCACTCAGAAACCCTGCGGAGCTCCGGGGCCCAGGGCCCTTTCCCGTCCTTGAGGGCTGAGCCCCGACTCACGTGGTGTTGCCTGAGCCGAAGCCTGCCTCTGCCCACAGAGCAGAAGGAAACGGCCGCTTCCGTCTACTTGGCCTTGCACTTCCTCGGTGGCAGCGCCCGGGACAAAGCTCCAGAGGCCCGGCCCCTGAGCAGGGCGGCGGTGGGAGGCCGGACAAGGACAGTCCTTGGAGAAGGCGGGCAGGTGCAGACAGCAAAGGTAACCCCTACCCCTTGCCCAGGGCCCCGGGGCTGGGGGAGTGTGCTGGGCAGGCAGGGCTTGTGGTGACGGAGAGGGAGCGTGAAGCCAGCCCCACCCCGCCTGCTCTCTGCTCCCAGGGGAGGCTGAGCTGGCACGTACGGGCAGGACAGGACGAAGGCCAAAAGTGCAACACAAAAGAAAACAAAATTGTGCAGATAGAAATTTCAAGGGAAAGAATTACACACCCAAGACCCTGGATGAGATACTTTTCATCACTAGACCTTAAATTTTGCTCTGAGCTTCCTGGTAACAGCAGCAAAAAGTAAAATGAAATGCTGCCCAGGAGAGCTCTCTGGGTAACCTAAGATTATACACCAGAAATTCTTACCGACAGAGATTCCAGGTGAAATCCCATCTCTTAAAAGGAGAGAGTTGTTGGGGCGCCTCGCTGGCTCAGATAGGGCAGCATGTGACTCTGGATCTTGGGGTTGTGAGCTAGAGCCCCCCATTGGGTGTAGAGATTACTTAAAAATAAAATTAAAAATTAACTATCCCAGGGACTCGGGAAACAATTACCATGATCAGATTCAACTTACACCCGGGTTTCCTGCGAGCAGGGGCTAAAAGGGAAGGGGGGCTGAGTGCTGGTATCTAAGTGGTAAGTGTGTGGTCAAGGGCGTGTCCACATGTCTGGGTTATGTCCTGCTCTGAGATGTCTTGAGTGAGGGCAGCTGGAGAGGATCCGGAAGCCTCAGCTCTGACGTGACCGTGTGGAACAGCGACAGGGCCGGGCCTCTGGAGCCCTGCACGCTGCTCTTTATCCCAAGAGCGGTGATTAACAGGGAATGTGCTGGGTCCAAGACCCAGTTTGGCCTGCCTTCCTCCTCAAGGCCCTTGGGTACTGGGTGCGGGGGTTCCTGGAGGGTTGGGGGCGGGGCTGGCCGTGGGGTCCCCTGGGCCTCCAGTTAACACCACAGGGCTTTGGGCAATATGATGCCAACATGCCTGGTATTTTCAGCTGCTCTGTCCAGTGGCCTCCGAAATGGCGTCCCAGGAGCCGGTGTCCGAGCCCGAATGCAAGAAGGGACCACCTTGGAGGAAGGCGAAGATGTTCCGGGGCAGTGGCAAACAGAAGAGGCTGAGCATCCGGTCCAGAAGGTAGGGCGTGTGTCCCGCCATCCATCCCACACGTGCCCCGAGTGCCCTGAACTTCGAGGGGGCGATTCTGCCCACTTCTAGGAAGACCTCCGTGGGGGTGTGGAGCTGTCCGTGTGCAGCGTGGGAGGACTGTGTGGCAGTGAGGGGCCACACTTCCGAGGTAGGGAATCGGTTGGCTCCCCATCAGCCCATCTGCACTGCCCCCCTGCCCCTGACTGTGGGCTTGTCGGGGGGCACCTCTCCAAGGCCAGGAATCCAATAAATATTTGAAATAACTGAGTTGAAAACACATCCACCGGTTTAAGTCCTGAGGAGAGAGCGCATTAATTATTTAGAGCTTTTATTGCTTTTTTATTTATGCAAGCGGTGCATGTCCTTTGCAGCAAAACGAGGAAATACAGATGAGCATAGAGGAGCCAATAACACATCCCAGTCCCGCTGCTGGGGTAACGCCGCTAGTGCCTAGGGCTCTCCCTTCCAGACTTTTCTCTGTGGTGTGTGTGCGTGCACGGCCTCTCCTGACAGCAAATGGGGCGCACAGGTTTTTACTAGTGCGCTCTTCCATCACACCCTTCTTGGATGCTTTCGCCCCTTTGCTCCAAACCCTCTAGCCGCTGTGGACAAGGGGGAGCGGCCCCTCCTTAGCCAGGCCCCAGCCCGTCTGCACCACCCGAGAAGCTGTCTGGTTTTCCCGTGGCCTCCTGTCCTGCTCGGGGTGACTTGGTGCTGCCTCCCCGGCTCGCATTCTCAAATTCGCACCCCAAACCCAGATCCCGCTGCTTTCCCAAATCCCCCCTCCACATCTCAGCCCCCTACTCTCCCCTTCCTGGGTGGCTCCCGCCTTCTCCCCGTATCGCCAGTATTTGACCCAAACCCAAGATATTCTTCAGGAGGCCATGCGGGCGCCTGGTTCCTCCCTGCCCCTGCTCAGAACCTCTGCGCCAGGCGGCGACAGGCCCTTCTGGGTGTGCTTGGAGGTGAGGCCCCGGCTGGCTCAGCTGCCTGCCAGGCCCGCGCGTCCCAAGCGGACATCGCTGAGGGCTTGCTGTGTGCCGGGCACCGTATAATGACCCCTCCCCCCCCCCCCCCCCGCATTTTTCTCACGAGGAGCCTGAGGCACAGACAGATCAGGTGACCGCCCCAAGGACCCAGGTGTGAATCAGCAAGTCTTCCTCGGAGCCTGAAGGCCAAATAGCAGCCTGGCCCAGGCCGCCCCGCCTGCAGTGGGCCGGAGAGTCCCCGGAGGTGTCTGGGTTCCCCGGTGAGGCCGAGGCACATTCCTCGGGTCTGGGACCTGAGCCTCTGCGTTTCCCACAGGCTCCCAGGGGTGCTAAGGGTGTGGCCGAGGGAGCACCCTTGGAGGAGCCTTTCTTGTGTTACCCCAGCCACGTTTCATCCTTTGCAACAGAGGCCCGGCTGCTGGAGGCCGAGCGGAAGAAGGGCCGCTCTGTGTCACAGGGACACCCAGCCCTACCCCGAGCCCCTGAACTGTGCAGAGTGGGGGAGGGATGGCTCCCTTGGGGAATGTTTGGGTGCCGTTCACAGACGGAATGAATGCTAGCCAGACCGGAGAGCACTGCCCATGGATCCCGGGAGCACGGGGTCCCCGGCACGAGGCCTTGTCCCCGTCAGTGTCTCCCACATTGGACGAGGGTGGAAGAAGCACTCGGTCGCGGGCCCGGGAGCTCTGGGGGAGGGCTGAGCGTGCCCCACTAACTGCTCCCGCCTCCCCGGGCCTCACCTTCCCTAAGGCGGCAGCTCCCGCTGCGCACCTGCTCGGTGCTGGGTGCCGCACGTCCAGGCCGTGCAGGAAGCCGTGCACACATGGCTGCTGGTGCCCAGCCGAGGCTCTGGGAGGCCTGGACAGGTGTCCCCGGCACCTCCTGGGCTGGACATGGCCCGTGTGGGAATCTTGTGAGGCCTGACTGTATTTAAAAGTCTTGACTCAGTAGCTAAATAAATATCAGGAGATCTCACGGGAAAGCCTGGATTTCCAGCTTATCTTGAAATAGCCAAAGCCCTGAAGATGCTGGGCCTGCCTTCCAGCTTGGCAGCAGCAGGTGGGAGCTGAGAGCGGCCGCCTGGTGGGCAGCGCCCGTGCCCCCTGCCGCCTCATGGGCGACCCCCGGGCTCCCGGGTTTGCGCAGGCCCCACCTCTCCCTGCCGTGTGACATTTGAGTTTGCAAACCTTGATCTTAATGTGCGGCCTGGTGGGGGCCAGAAGACCCCTCCCCAGCCAGCGAGCTTCTCAGCAAGAGAGCAGGTGGCAAGGTGAGGGGGCATCGGACCCAGTGTAGAACACGGAGGGGTCTGAGTTAAAATTGTCCTGGAGCCCCTGACTGGGTGAAGTGACAATGGGGCCGTTGAAATTTTTATGTCCATCCAGCATTATTGGGTGACCGCAATTCATTTGTCGTTTGTACCTTTATCGGCTTACAACTGTCCTGAGTTAATTCCAGCTTCAGGGCCATGGCACTTGCAGACCTCCCCCACCTCCTCCTGTACAGCTCACCTGTGGCTCCCTACGTGGCTGGCTCCCCCTCCTCTCAGGAAAGACCTCGCTATCACAGCAGGACCTCCGTGACCTCTATACTTCGGCGGTTCCCCCAGAGCAGTGAAACCAGCTTCAGAAGCAGGGGTCGGTGCTCAGGCTGAGTACCGGTGTGGGGGACATGCTGAAAGGTGGTGCCCAAGGGGGCTTCGGGTCACCGTTCTGGAGGCCGTGCACAGAGCTCGTGTTTCCTCTTCAACGTATTAAAATGTTCATTTCTCACATAGTAACTTAGGGCCAACGTGTAACAGAAGTTAATAGTAACATAGGATTTGCATATATTTACTTTGCAGATAACCCAGCAGAATAACTTATTGGATGAGGGGTTGGTTGGGCTGTCTGCCCACCTCCCTCCCTCCCTCGCTAGCCAGCTACCGTCTATCTAGTTTGCTGTTGCTGCTATAACAAATTACCAGTTTAATGTAGATACGGTTTTAAACAACATGAGTGTATTCTTTCAAAGTTCCGTAGTTGAGGGTTCATTAAGGGGGTCACCTGACAAGATCAAGGTGTCAGCAGGGCCGCATTCCTTCTGGAGGCTCCCGTGGAGAATGGGTTTCCTGCTCATCTGGGTTGTTGGCAGGATTTTGCTCCATGGCTGGTGGCCCCTCTTGGGTGTCCTGAATCACCACGGACAGCCCGGGTCCCTTTCACCCGTTAGGCGTCCGCTCCTTCCTGTTCAGCCTCATTTCTCTGCCCCAACCTTCTGCCTCTTCTTTCATTTTTAAGGACTCCTCTGGTTAGAGGGTTTTTACCTGGGTAATCCGGGACGCCCCCCTCCTCATCTCGGGCTCTGTGCCCTTAATCACATTCGCAAAGTCCCTTTTACCATGGAAGGTAATCTAGTCACAGGTCTGAGGATTAGGATGTGGGCATCTTTTAGGGTGAGGGGTGTTATTTCACACCAGCCACCTGTCCAGCCACCTGCACCTGTGTGTGATTGTGTATACGCACGTATGCCTCCTTGGATGTACATGTCTACCCTCTCATGAGTGTGTGTGTGTATGCGAGTGGCTCGCTCTCGTTCATTCGCTCGTGGGTTCTCATCTCAGGGAAGGAGCCTGTTTTCTTATTCACGCTCCCATGTCACTTCAGTTGTCTTACGTTCACCAGAAAATGAAATACCGCAGCAGGGATTCCCCATCGGCCCTAGGGCACAGCAAATGGTGGAATTCATGTCGTGGAGTATCTTTTCTCTTTTCCTCTTTTTTTTTTTTTCCTTTGGGAACATTTAGAAATGCAGAAAAGTTCTGAAAAACATATAACAGACTTCAGACTCATGAACTGCAAGATCATGACCCGAGCTGCAGTCAGATGCTTGACGGACTGAGTCCCCCAGGCGCCCCTTATTTTGTGTCTTTAAAACGTGTATATAAATGTCGCACTGAATTTATCATTCTTCAGTTGGATTTATAACTCAGTGTGGTGGTTTTGAAGTCCTAGCCACGTTGGTCAAATTGATGCAGCGTAAGTGCTGTGGAGTGCTCCCTGCCAGAGTATGACACATTTTATTGTCCATCACTCTAGTTGCGGGCATTTGTTTCCAAATTTTTTTTTTTTTTTTTTTTTTTTGCTAACTTTGCAGTGAATGAATGTGTATCCATGCCTCCTTAAGCAAAAGTTTTCCAAGAAACAGACCCAAAAGTGGGATTGTGGGGCCATGAGGTAATCACATCCTCAGCTTGACACATTATTACTGAATCACTCTCCAGAGTGGGTGTGTCAGTGTGCATCTCCGGCAGGTGTAAGTGAAAGTGCCCTGCTCCTGTTTTCCTACGAACACTGGTTACTAGCAGATTTTTATGCTTTGCACATCCAGAGTTTGCAGGATTCTGTAGGCATTCTAGGTCCGTACGTGTGCTTTGCCATTGCACGTACTGCAGATATTTTCGCACATTTATTCTCTATCTTTTTAAAGCCCATTTATGTATGTTTTACCCACATAATTGCAAATGTTTTGCCTCTTCATTCTTTCTCACGTATCCGATCTTACTTCTGGGACTATTTTCTTCTGCCCGAAACATAATTTTTAGAACTTCCTTTAGAGAAGAAAAATGTCAGTTCTCATTAGTACAAAAATACATTTATTTCATTCTTGTTGAAAACTATTTTTGCTGGGTATACAACCCCGGGTTGACAGTGATTTGCTCTTTGTACATCAAAGCTCTCTCTGCGCTATCATTTGCCTTCCATTTTGTGGTGGAGAAGTCAGCTATTAGTCTGCTCATCTGTCTTTTGAAGGTCTCTTTTCTCTGGCTGCTTTTAAGATCTTCTTTTAATCTTTGGTGTTCCATCGTTTTACTTTGATGTATCCAGGTGTATGCTACTATTATTTATTCCATTCGGAGTCTGTTGGGCTTTTATGAGTTGTGGCTTGATATCTACCTAGAAAATCCTCAGCCATCATTCTTCAAACATTGTCTCTACCCCATTCTCTGTCTTCTCTTTC